AGTAGAATGTTAAACTGGTGTTCATGTTTTGGATAAAATGTATTTAGTATGACTGCCATAAATATAACTTCTCACAAGCCAAAATGGCTCTAAGGAGTCTGAGGACAAGGATATATTCACTTGTAATGGCAGAATGGATTTACAGTCAATGTTGCTTTAGTAACTGGGGTAGAATCCACCAAAACAGACCTTTTGACAAAATATCGTCTCAAATATCAAATTTGTTACTTGCTATGCATTATAAAATGTTTCTTGTAAAAAATAAATACAGCTTTTACAGTTAGTTTCTTAACTTGACATTTAAAATAAATATTCCACTTGTTTTTCATACAGTACCTTGTGGTGACACAAACATTGCAAAAATGGTTGTGCTGGTTTTTGCTCCAGCACTACCAGTGACCCTTTCTTGGAGGTTACTGACTTTGTAAGTCACCTAAGGTGAAGGACAATGTTATCTTTCTTCCAAACAACTCACTCAACTTTATATGCAGCCTAAAAAATAGGTCAGTTTGATCTGCACCAAAGCAGCTTCCCTCTGCCAGAACAGAGCTGAGTGTGTGTTTCTGAGAGTAGGAACAGCTCATCAAGTATATACCTACTCATTGGTAGGATCAGATGAGTAGGAATAATTCCTTGCTTTCACTACAACCTGTTTGTTGCAAAGGAATGAGCTGGACTTTGGTCACTGACTCTGTTTAAACCTGTCATAAATCAGGAGTCTCTCCTCAGGATTTTTTTCTACATTTGTTTTAAATCTCTCTCTGCCTCCCACATCACTTGACTGTCTTGGAGGTTGATGTTGCACTGTTTGAGGATAACAAATAATGGGCCAAACCAAAGAGGAAATGTAAGCTTTGTTGTTGATACAAGTCTCTAATTCATTGTTCACCATTCACATTTACCTGCTAAAATATGTCTTGGAAGGATGGAGGGTTGTCTTTGGAGTTCTTGCCTCCACTAAGCAAACTACAACCTCACCACTTTCCATAATGCAAGTTTCAAATCTCATCTTTTCTCCCTGTCCATTTCAATTCTCTAAGGTTGATTTTCAGGTTGATGCTGACTAGATGATAGACATGTCTGTCCCAGTGTATTCATTAAGAAGGCAAGACAGGCACTCCATGGATGTGGGTATAAAACTGACCAAGAAGCAAACCAGAGCTGAGTGTCCACCTGGTGAAACCTGTGATCTAGCTCCAGTGTGAAGCAAGGTGTCCTGCCTGCCAGCAAGTTTCAGGTACCCTGGGCAGCAACAAAATTGAATTATCAACTCCAAAATATGAATACAATGATTAGTATGAGGTAAGTCAGGGGTACTCAGCCACTGTTACCATGACTCTGCAGGACTCAAGGATTTCTGCTCTGGAAGGTAAAGTCTTTCTGCTCATCCCCAGTTGCACAGCTCACACAGGGCAGGCTGCTATACCTGGCATCAGTTAGTCTGTAAGGGCTGGGGAGTCTCTCAAGAAAGCAACCCAGATGCACAACCTTTGTGTACAGTTCACCATATGACTGCCTGGCTTCTTCATCAGCTTCCTATGTCCTACCACCACCTGAAACATCTGATCCACAGCCATACCATTAAACATAATAATGCTTTCAACATAAGGGCACCTACATTTAAGTGAGCCAGGCTGACTAATATTGAGTTGCTGATTTATACATTTAAAACATGTATTCACACAACAATTTATCAAAAAATAAAGGTCAGGAACCTGCAACCTTTTCAAAAAATGCCTAAAGGACACTGAGCATCCTGCATACATTTTCTTCCCTATCCTAGGAGAAAGTAAACACATGTATTTTCTACTCAAAGGATATGCTAATGAGGGATTTATCAACCCTGGAACCAACACCTTCCCCTATGAGATTTAGAAAACGCTTGTTTTGCCCTGATTCCTTATCAGATTATTTGATAAAGGGAGGGCACAGACAGAACAGATTTAGGGCAGGTACACAGGTAAGGCATGTGATTTACAGATTCAGAGCTGGTTCAGTTAAGAACCCGCTCAGACATTTTATTATTCACATTTTTATTATTATGTACAGAACAGATTGCAACTTATCCATTTACCAGCATGTTGTATCTGCCCTCTGCCTTTCTCAGTAGGAAGTATCTTGTATGTACACATATGGTACAGTGCTTGTCTGCTCCTCATCCTTACCTAATCATTAAGGTTCAACAAAAGGTGAACACCATAATTATGAAAAACTGACAGAATGTTTAAAAAGGAACAACAATCAATAGCACCAAATGTACAATTTGAGTGATTAAACTTGTGCCATTCAAAACCTAAGGAAATGATAGTGAAATAAAATAGGGAAGAAACACCAGAAAAAAAGTCATTTAGGAATTGGAAGCTGGTTCCTTAAGATGCCAAAAAAAAAAAAAAGTCATATTCTGGAAGATTCAGACATATTATTCTCCCTGGCTGTCACACTACATTGCAGGTCCTCAACTCAAAAAAACTCAGCAGTTTAGCATGTTCAAGACAGTGAATGAACAAATGGACCATATGCCTTTTTAATAGTATACTTCAAGGGTCTTAAGAGGTGCTGGGGTTTCTGTCTCAAAGGATGCCCTATTACATGTGAATGTTGAGAGAATGACATTTAAGGAGAATCAATATGCATGTTAGTTGACAGCAAAGAACAACACAGAAGATTTTTTGGCTCATGATTATTTTATTTTCCAGAGTGCCAAATATTCAATAATTACTATGGAGAAATCCTCTGGCATTCCTAGTCCATATTTCTCCATCCAGATCAAAGCATTCTTTGTTTCTATAATTCCTGTACCAATCAACATGTTCAAGCCAATCCCTCGTAAGACCCTGCTTCACCAGTTCCCTGGCCACACACTACCTGGAGACACAGACCTTGCAGTGAGAAAGCTGCCAGGGAAACAGGGAGAGTTTTCAATAGTGCCCAAGCAAGAAATAGACTAATTAAGTGGAAACTGTGCTGCTGAAGAACATGATGCTATACAAATATCTGCCTCTTCCATGGGGTTTACTGGATGTTTTCATTTCTGACAGACAAGTCATTGCTATGTACCTATCAGAGCCACTGCAAAGCAATCATGGTAAAAGGCCAATAATTTTTTACAACCCTGGATAAATATATTTGCCTGCATTTCATCAGGCTTAAGGGAAAGGATCTTGCATTGCAAATACCCCAACAGGTGCTCACAGGTTCTCACAATGTTCTCAAATCAAATGTCTTCTCCCATGCTATTCCCATTCTGCTAACAATGGCCAGCCAGGGTCCCACACACAGCTTACCAGCACGTTTGTTACACTTTACAAGTAGAAAAGTTATTAAAATATCAGAAACATCAACCTTTATTGTGCCCACACATCCATAAAATACACCCTACAGCTTTTCTCATCAGTAGCCTTGAGTGCTCTACTGTGACTTCTATTGCCATTATTGGGGTAGGGCCCAGCAGGAGTCTCAAAAGCTGGAATGTTAACATGCCATAGGAGGAAAAACAATGCTCTAAAGTAAGGTGAGTGCAGCAAGTGTTCTCACAACTTCAGCAGAAGGTAGGCACTTTCAGGGTGTCCTGACACGGATATATATACTTTCCTCTTTCCATTGCAGATAAACCCCCAGCCAAACAAACAGAAGAAAAATGAACACAAAACAACCAACAACAAAAATAAACCCCAACAAACAAGAACACCACACAAAAAAACCCAGGAAGCTCTAAATTTGTCAGTTTTCTGCCTTGCAATTTACAAATCCATAATAGGCAGAAGAAAAGACTACACAAAGCAAAGATGGTGCAGAGGAGGCATGTGATAGCCTATAAAAATCCCAAAGCTCTGCCTACTGTTAAAATAGTAAGATTGTTCTTTTGAAAAATTAACCTGTAATTGAAATATTCAACAGCATTTCTATTTGGTGCTTCCAAACATGAAATTATATGTTTCACTAAGAAGTCCAGCAAAACTAACCCAAATTAACCCCAGTTTCCAGAAACAGAGAAATAATGTAACTTTTTTTTTCATTGTGTTCTTCCTAAATGGAAGAGTAGAACTTATTTTTTCCCCTATATTAAATATATAAATTATAAACTGGCCTTGCTAAGATCACAGGGAAATCTGAAGTACCAAACTAATCTAAGTTACATGTCTTGAAAGGTCTGCACTTGAATTATCATTTCCAAAGTGAAATACTACAAAGATTCAGAGATTTGTGATACCCCAGAGTTTCTTCCCTGACACTCCAGTTACTGAAAAGGTTAAAACTATTCCCAGTCTGTTAGCAGTCAGGGGACCCCTGCCATTTATCTTTGCTTTCTCTCTTACCCATTATCCCAACACCTGTTGCCTTGTAAAATGCCACCCACTGATACTTTTATAGACTTCATGTGACCTTTCAGCACAGAACTTTGTGCTTCTGGAAAATGAGCTTTTTTTTTTTTTTCTTCATCTTTTAATGGAAATGAAGATAGTGAGTTGATTTGTAGCAACTGCCAGGAGAATCTATCTTTGTTCTTGTGAGCGGTTTTTGGCCACTGTATCACTTGATACAATCAGGAATCGTAGGCACGTATAAGAAGAACTAGAACTTTCTGCAACCATTGCAACTACTAGGAAAGAAATCTATCTTCTTATTAGGAGATGGAGTGAATAAAAAGCCTCATATTTCATATTATGTAAAACATATCACCTCTACAACCTTAACCATCCAGAACCTGTGTCCCATATGCGGACCTAAAAGCCTCTTACCAACAAAGCAGCAGAGATCACCCACTGCTCAACAGCAGGAACATGAAAACAGTCATGCAAAACAAAATGATTGGATATAAAAGCTATGTCTTCCCCCCATGCAGTTTCACTGCTGGATGAAGCAAACTTCAGAAGTTAGTATCTGTTTCTCAGATTGCTGAAACTTTCTCTCCATCCCTTTCAGCAGAACATTTGCACCTGTCAGACACTGGAGTTGTGAAGCAATATTAAAAACTTGCAGAACATCAGACATTTCCTTACCATAGCCAAAGGGAGAACTCCTACCAGGTCCTTCTGGTTTATGTAGATCTTGGAGATTCCTAGATCAGATGTTGTATCTCCAGGATATTCTACCTGCCACGTGATGAGCTGGGTGCCGGGTAAGTCAGTTAGGTCTTCAATTTCAAAATCAATCTGCATGATTTCAGAGGAAGGACCATCCGCACTGCAAGAAAGATAAAGAAAGGTTCCTTTCACATGGCTGATGAGCCAGCAATATAGTTGGTTTTATATTAATAAAACATTGGATTAAGTCCCTTCTAAAGAGAGGATTTGTCGGGATGATAGGTTTAATAACAAATTAATCATTTGCACTTGTCTTAAGATTTTGGGGTATTTCCCACACATTCAAGTAGCTCCGTAACACTCTGTGACATGGATTACTAAGCACTGCTCCATTTTACAGGTGGAGAAACAAAAATAAATCAAAGTAAAGCTCAGGCTAAAGCTACAGCCTAAAAATCCTGACTCTGAGGCTCTCCCTTAACCAGCACATTGTATTTCCTCCCTGTAAAGACAACACATGAGCAAATCTAAAGGGTATTTTCTACTTTTTAAAAAGAGGGGCTTGGAATAGAAGTCAACCAGTGAACCAGGGAAGCAGGGAGTAGAGGATTGGGAAACTCGGAATGATTTTTTGGCTATACTACTTCCTTGCTGTGAATGTCAGTCTGAAGCTTCTTTTGTCCTTTGCTAAAACAAATTACAGATAATTTAGCTTGTTTCAGGGGAAGAATTACAAAACCAGGTTATATAATATTGGCCAGGCCTGACAAAAGTCCTTCAGAAAACAACACTAGAAGAGAAGGAAGAGTTACTAGATGTGATTCTTCAGGATAATATGGCAACACTGGGGTTACTGAGACCTTATCAATGCTACCTCATCTTTACATGCTGTCCTTCCTAAGGTTACATTGTTCATATAAGTGAATACTACAAAGCAGATATGAGGGAAAATTGGAAAGGGGCTCATTGGTGCAATTCCTGCAAAGCTTGTTATAAAATCAGCTACTGTACAGAAAGCAATGCAGTGAAGCTTCTATTGTGTATCTTGGCAAGGTGAGCTTCATAGTCCAGTGGCATTTATAGAGACAAGAAAATACTCAATATACTCAATTTACTGTAAAGTTGTTGAGGAATGCAGAATTTTGTAGCAGTGCAGAAATCCAGGGGACACTGAGATTGACAGTACTTTTATTTCTGAGGTACTGAGGGCAGAACAGATCTTCAGTTGAAGTGTGGAGGGGAAAGAAAAGTGCAGACTCTTTCAGTGGGATGGTACTCAAGGAGAGAATGAACGGCACAGCACTAAAGTGTCAAGACATTTCTGTTAGGGAGTGCAGCTGGAAGAGAGAGGAAACATTTCAGCAAGTGATTAGAGAATACCAAGTGTCCAAACCCCAGCAGGTTTCCCCAGCTGATGTGGAAAAAGAGCTAAAACTAGGCAGTTTTTTTTATGAAGACCAGTTACAACAACAACCTTAGTTTGGGATTCTTTCTGAGATACTCAGAGATTTTCATCATGCTGCCTAAATCCAATTCTTTATCCAAAGCTACTGCTTGAAGAGTTTAATCTTATCACCTTTAAGGTTTGGATTTAAATGGATGTACTGAGTTCTTGCTATCTTGGATGGAACATAAAAGGAGCTTCTTGCTTCCAAAATGGAACACATTGTGTTCAAGCCCTCATTTCTTCATGTCAGGGAAGAGGGGGGGAAAAAAAAAAAAAATGCACAATTTCTAAACTATCCCTGAATGCAACTTTATTTCAAGCTGGCATAGGTAGGATCAGAAAGTTGCTTTATGCAGCTGTGGCTATTGAAATTCAGTTATTTTAATTAAATGAGCAAGGATAGGAAATGCATTACCTATAAATACTTGGCAGTGATCCCATCTCGTACAGCATGTTCTATCACACTTTCTGTGTTTAAAGAATGAATTGAATCTTCATATCATGAACCTTGGCTTTGTGATTCTGTTCAGGGTGCCTTTCTCTATTACTGCATTGATGCCTGCTACTACCAGTCATCAGCTTTGCAGAACTGGTGCTCACACCACAAATGTGTCCTGGGACAGCAGGGAGGGATTGCTGCACAGGAGGGGGCTGCAAGGCAGAATACTACAGGAAAACCAAGGTATTGTCAAACAAGGTAATCAGCTAAGCTTTTCCAGGCCTGTAGGGGATTAGGAGGAAAGTGATTAGGGTATAGGAAAACAAAGAGGGGAGGAAAGGATGGGGAGAGAGAGGTGGAGCATAGGTCTTACATTTTTCAACTACAGCTCCAGTAAAGCTCAACTACAGTAACCCAAAAATAATGAAAACACTTTATTTTAATTTTGCCTTTAAAACAGATATTTTAATGAAGAACTTCTTGTAGCAAAAAAAATGCCAAACCCAAATAACACTAAAAAAAAACCACATAAAATGCAATTTTGACAAAAATTATTTAACTAGTTCCTCTAAGAAACACTAAACCCCTGCAAATAACAACATTACAAAGCACCTCAGAAATCAATAAGAATCTCATTACTGTTACCAAACATGTATAAAGAAAACAAAAATTTAAAATATTGCATGATTAGACCCAGGTCATCAGCACCAGCTCAGGAACTTTAATTACTATACTCATCAATGACTGTGATGATCCTACCATGTTCAAGTGCCATGGATCTGTGTCCCCATTTTACAGTCTTTCCAAAAAGTATTTAGAATTGAAAACTTTCAATAGAGAAGTGAAAAAGTTACCCTTCAGAAAATACAGTAAAAAAAGTAAATGGAGAAATTTGGACAAATAGAGTTCATTACCCAAGTTCCATAAAAAAAAAAAAAAAAAATAAAAAAAATTGTGGCTTTTCTTTAAAAGTCCAGGTTGCCTGGAACACTAGGAATATTTCCCCTTGGGGAGTCAGCCACTGCTACTTGAAATGATGCACTGCCTAATCCTCCTCAAGGTAGACATACACTTTATGGTCCCTAAAATGCAGCAGCGTGCTGGCAGCTTGTCTTTGCTAACATTCAACCCATTATTGTTATCAAGAGTGCAGCAACAGTGTTAGATACAAGATGGGAGGCTACACAATTAGAAAGATTAGGATGGGCAAACCCAAAGGTTCACAA